GAGGGCAGGGGAGTGGGAAAATATATAGCTCAGTAAAAAAATATTAAAAAACAGACCATGGTAGGGTTCTTCAGGAGGAAGAGAAGAAAAGAAAAACATAGATGGGATGCCCCGCCTTGTTCATCTTGAAGTTCAGGATGTGGGAGCTAAAGAGATGGGGAGGGAGCTGGCCAGTTGTGGCGCATGCCTTTAATCCCCGCACTCAGGAGGCAGAGGCAGGCGGATCTCTGTGAGTTCAAGGCCAGCCTGGTCTACAGAGCGAGTTCTGGGACAGCCAGAGCTGTTACACAGAGAAACCCTGTCTCAGCTGACCTGAGCAAGTGGGAGCTCACAGACTCCAGTCTGACAGCTGGGGACCAGCACAGGACGGAGCCAGGGGACCATCACAGGCCCCCTGAACAGTTGGGGCCCTGGGCAGTCTATGGGGCCTCTGGCAGTGGAACCAGTATTTATCTCTAGCACATGAATGGGCTTTGGGAGCCCATTCCCCATGGAGGGACACCGTCTCAGCCTAGACACGTGGGGGAGGGCCTAGGTACCTCCCCGAATGATGTGACAGACTTTGATGATCCCTCATGGAAGGCCTCACTCTCCCTGGGGACTGGATAGGGGAATGGGGGGGGGGTAGGAGGATGGGAGGAAGAGGGAACTGGGATTTAAATAAAAAATTATCTAACAAACCCTGCCTTGAAAAACCAAAATAAAATTTAAAAAATGGGGACAGTAGAGGAGACTGAACTTCACACACTGAAAGGTAGGGAAAAGTCCCATAGGTGGACTTTTGTGTCCTGCCTGCCAGCCCACAAATAACCACACAGAGACTTCTTATTGTGAAAGCTTGCTTGGTAGCTTATGCTTGTTCTTAACTAACTCTTATAACTTGAATTAGCCCATATTTTTATTAATCTACATTCTACCATGTGGCTCTTACCTCTATCCCGTCTGTGCGTCTGACTCGTTCTAAGTCTATCTGGTTTCTCCTTGTGACTCTGCCCTTCTTCCCAGTGTCCTCTCGGCCCCCAAACCCTGCCTAGCTAGCTATTGGCTGTTTAGCTTTTTACTGAACCAATCACAGTGGTATATCTTCACAGAGTGTAAAGGAATATTCCACGACACTTCCCTATGAATGTGCAGGGAGTGTTTGTGTGCCTGCGTGTGCGCGTGTGCATGTGTGTGCGTATGTGTATGTGTGCGCGTGTGCGTGCGTGTGCATGTGTGTGTGCGTGAAGGAGAGGGTGAGTATATTCACTGAGGAATGCATCTCATGGAATCTTCTAGCATTGGATAACCCAGACAGTGCCCTCTTAGGCTCTGACCCAATGTTACTTTTCTTGGCATTGAGACAAAGCTCTAACAAAAACAAGTCAAGGGAGAAGGGGTTAGTTTTGGTTAGTTTGGTTCGTGTTTGAGCTGGGAAAGCGGCAGAGAGCGATGAATCTGGTGCTCTGCCCTCTTTCTCCTTTTTTTCTTGATTTGGGACCCCCGCCTGCCAAAGTGAGTCTTTCTACCTCAGTTAAACCTCTCTGGAAACACCCTCACAGACACAGAGGCGTGCCTCCTACGTGATCTCTAAGTCCTGTCAAGCTGATAATCAAGGTTAAGTACTGCAGGGGCTGCAGAGATTGCTCAGTGGTTAGGGCACACACTGCCCTTGCAGAGCGTATCGGTTACTGTTCTGCTGCCGTGATAAGACACTATGGCCAAGGCAGCCTGTGGAAGAGTTTATCTGGGCTTACGTACGGTTCCAGAGTCCTTTGATGGCAGCAAGTGGCAGGCATGTTTAATCACTGAGTGGTCTCTACAGTCCCACGATGCTTTTTTATTGTCCCTCTTTTGGCCTCTCCCACTCACTTCTTGCCCATGAGTCCTAAGGGGGGCGTGAGAGCTCCTGAGGCCTCCCTGTCTATGGCAGAATGTCCATGGACCAATCTTGTGCAGCTCCTATGCAGTCACAGTTGCTGTGACTTAGAAAGGTCATGTGCTGCCTGGAAGACTGTTCCACAGCATTCCGCTCTTTCTCTGGCTCTTATGATTCCCACCTCCGCTTCCGCGGTGTTTCTGGACTGGGTTATAGAAACACCCATTTATGGCTGAGTACTCAGAAATCTCTTTGCCAGTGCTTTGAGCTGTGATTCTGGTGTCACTGCCAAGGATGCTTCCGACCAAAGCTGATAGTCAGAGGGTGGACACAGAGATTTAGAAGGCATCTGACCAGCACACCGAGTTCACTTGACAACTGTCAGCCTTTTTGCTTTCTTTCAAGACATCCAGATACTCAAGGAGTTCCGCATGAAGCACGTTTGGACTTGGCTGTGCTCTGTTCTTGACAGAATAGATGTATTGCTGTTGGGGGGATATCCCGGGGTCCCTCGCTCCCCAAGACTAGAGTTTCAGTTTTTGTGCTGTTGATGATCGGAGTCCATTCACTTCATTGAGATGGGATTCTCCACTTCAATTCTTGGGAAGTTCCTTTTGCAATTAATAACCGATCAAGTGATACGTTGGGAGTATGAATTTCTTGTTTCCCAACAACCTCTCACTATATTATTGACACTTACTGTTTTCTTGAATTAGTTCTCAAGCTTGGGGCAGAGGCCTTACATATGGTGGAGCTAGGATGTGAACCTTGGTTCATGTCATTACAAGATGGCCTTCGAGCCTTTTTCGAGAATGATCTCTATTTGGTCCTATGACTGCAGGAGTTTCTGTCGTATTTAGCACTGGGATTTTAAGGCCCACAAAGCCATGTTTTCAGAGAGGAGATGAATTTGTAGGATGGGGAAGAGGGTACAATTTAACATCCCCCTCCCCCAGTGCTACAGATTTAACCGTGTAAGCCAGGGAAGCACTCTACTGTACAAAGCAGGCTTTCTGGGGAATTCTCTGCTTCTCAAGGAGATGCCATGTACCTTGGGGCTTCCTACACTCCGTCTGCTTCAGGAACATTCCTCCTTGACTCCTTGTGGTGCCTTGCTACTAGCCAGGCCAGTGCTGACTTTCTGAAGTTGTTTGTTTCATCTCATGGAGATTTCAGAGTTGGCAGCCTGAGAGGCAAAGATGAGCCCCATGTGCAGCCAAGCCAGTGCTTGCTAGTAACTATAGGGTCTCCCAGTCACAGTAGCCTGGCTCACCTTATGTGTGTACGGTGCAACATCAGCACCGTGAACTCTACCATCCGGAGTCAAACTCATTGGCCCCTGGTGGAATCAAAATGGCTCCTAGAGAGGATTTCAGAATTTGGTGGTCCATGCATTTTGAAAGCTCCAATGGTCGGTTTCTGACATTTGACTGGAGGCTGAAGGCAGTAAATGGTACGAGAAGACTCAGAAACCCAAAGCAGGACCACTGTGGGGAGAATTCCAAAGGCAGGATGTGGACTGGAGTCTCTGAGCCACATTCCCTCACTTAAAGAGTGAAGAATAATGTCTCCATGTGGAAAAGAATTAAGAACTGAAGAAGGCAGTGGACCCATGACCCTCTGCCACATGGCATATTGTTCATGATAAATGTATTTGTTTTCAAGTAATTGAACCCAGCCAGACATAGTGGAGCACACCTTTAATCCCAGCACTCAGGGGCAGTGGCAGGTGGATCTCTATGAAATTGAGGCCAGCCTGGTCTATATAGTGAGTTCTAGGACATCCAGAGCTACATAGAGAGACTCTGTCTCAAAAAAAGGAAAAAGAAAAAGAGAGAGAGAGAGAGAGAGAGGAGGGAGAAGGGAGAGAGGGAAGGAAGGAAGGAAGGAAAGAAGGAAGGAAGGAAGGAAGGAAGGAAGGAAGGAAGGGGAAATTCATTGGCTTAAGTAGAAGTTCCCAGGGAGGAACTTTCTTCTGGAACTCCAGACTTGGCCTCAGTTTCTCCCCCTGGGTACCGAATGGCTTCCTTCAGCAAGTGGGAGGAGGAACTATGTGGCTAAAAGACCATTCTGAGATGACATTACTCCTAAAAATTAGATATATGAGTATCACTTGGAAGAGGAAATGTTTAAAAAAAAAACCTGAGATCTTATCTCTGAGAAATCCCGAGCAATGTGCTGTTTCACTGAGGGCTGAGGAGGGCTACCCAGATGCACTCTGACATCCTGAGTATGCCAGAGAGAACAGTGTGTTTGAATATTCATAGTCAATTGAAGACTTGCCTCAGATCTCTGGTGATGAGTTGTCTGTGTCATTGCCAACAAATTATCACTGCAGAAATCCTGGCGTGTGTCGCATCTCATTTCCCTCCCTTGGACTGAGTGCCCCTCGTTCCTGGAGCTTATTATTCACTGTCTATAGCTGCCAGTCAAAAGTCAAAGCCAGGAGTTCTCTTGAAGGTCCATACAGTAGACACAGCCACTTTATAATAAACTGAGTTTCCATGATAAATTGCTGTTTATCGTAAACTAATAAATAAATAAATAAATAAATAAATAAATAAATAAGAAGTCATTTTCTATCTCCTGGAGTGACTGGCAAAATATCAAATTATGTGCATTATTAATGCACATAAAAATGTCATAAAAATTTATTTTAGGCTCTCAGGCTTGGAGCCTAGATGTGGTATCACATGCCTTTAGTTCCAGTACCCAAGAGTCAGAGGCAGGTAGGTAGGTGAAGGCTGGCCTCAAACTCACAGAGATCCACCTGCCTCTGCCTCCAGAGTGCTGGGATTAAAGGCACGGGCCACCACCCCCTGGCTGGACTGTACTCTTGAAGTAACTCGACTATCTGCTCCAAGTACCTGCTTCATTGCCACGATGGGCTGTACTCTGGAACTGTAGCCAAAACAGACCCATTCTCTCTCGAGTTTCCTTTGTTAGGATGCTCCATCACAGCAACAAGAAACTGAGACCACATCCAGAGATGTTTATCTTCTCCCCAAAATTCTAGACCCAGAGCAGCAGTGGTTGATACACACTTCACAACACACCCGGTCTCCAGAGAAGACGCAGACCTTAACAACTGATGTCTTTGGCACTGATTTTTTTTTTCTTTTAACAATATTTTATTCTTTAGTCCACAGGTCCTGGTTCGTATCCAGGTGAATACACATGGCTCTTCTTCTACGCAAAAGTAAGACTTGAACTTGTGAAAAAAACTATGAAGAAAGATGTTTCAGAGGAGTGCTTTAATAATGATGCTGTCGTGTGTGTGTGTGTGTGTGTGTGTGTGTGTGTGAGAGAGAGAGAGAGAGAGAGAGAGAGATTTTTACAGATCATTTTCCCACAAGCAATTTTGGCATGGTCATTGGAGGATTCCTGTGGGATGCTGTTGAGAGTTTGGTTAGAAATGAACTAACCATTAGTCATATATTATCATGGATTTTATATATATATATATATATATATATATATATATATATATATGTGTGTGTGTGTGTGTGTGTATGTATGTATATAATACATAATATATTACATATGTAACTTTTATATATGATATATTTAAATTATAAAAAAACAATATATATGTTTTTTGTTTTTTTGTTTTTTTTCTAGACAGGGTTTCCCTGGGTAAATCAGCTATCTTGGAACTAACTATAACCTAGGTTGGCCTCCAAGTCATTGGCCTGGGATTATAGGCATGTGCCAGCACTACCAGGCCTGGTATCACGATCATTTCCTTACTCCAAATAAGTGTCTTCATTCATGCCTAAGCACGCATAGGGTCTTAAAGGGTCATATCAGATCATCAGACCTTTCAAGCATCTATATTCTTCTGATTTAGATAGAACATTATTAATTTGAGGGAAAAGGCAGTAACCTAATGCTGTTACTATTACTTTAATGTTGCCTTATTTAAATGAAAATGAAAGGCATCCAGTTAAATGTGGATGCCATATAAGTGAAGAATTTTTTTTTTTTTTTTAGTTTGTGTTCCAAATATTGCACGGGACATACTTGACCTAAAAATTCCTTTTTCCTGGAAACTTTTTGTTAGTATTCAGTCATGGGAGGGTCTGATATTGGGCCATCTCTCTAAACACAGTGGCAGGTGAATAGTCATCAGATCTCCTGAGACCCATAGACTTTTTTTTTTTCTTCCTGGCCTATGGCTATCCCTGGCTGAATCTTCCCAAAAAGGGTGGGAAGGAGATCTGGAAGCTGAAACTCAGCAAGACCGAGCCAAAAGCTTGAGGGTCAAAAAATAAACTAGCATGAAGCCAGTAATTGCCTTTAGAGAAATAGTTTACATTTTTATTAGTATCGGAGAAGCCCACGAGGCTCAGGGAAGTTGTCTGCACAGCGAGGAGGTGGTAAAAATGGGGGTTGAGTCTGACTTCATATGCCAGTTGCTTCCATTCCCCACACAGTGCAGCTCAGGCGGGCTTGGACTCCCTGTGATCCTCCCACCTCTGCCTGCTGCGCATGGGGCCACAGGCCTGGGCCACACTCCTGATCTCCCAGCATGCCCCACACTTCCTGCTTGTGCTTGCCCTGTGACAAAGTCTCATCTCCCTGGTTTCAGTCATCTGTGTTCCTTCCGGCTTCCACACTAGAGATGTTCTTCAGATTCCTTCATGTTTAACATTTGGAGGCATATTTCATAACAGAAAGTTTCCATCCTTTCTGTAAATAGGAAGCTATCTACCTCCTGCCATAAAGAGAAGATTATTTGTAAAATATATTCAATTAGAAGAATGTTCGGTTTTGAGTATCTTGTGTTGCTTGCCTGCAACGTTGAAATCAGAAACTGGCTTTTTCACACACAATTTCATAATGCCTGACTCTATGGACACAAATGCCCCCAGTCATTTCCCCAACAACCAGCAGTGTGCTGCCCGGCACCACCCTGTTTCTTGGTAAATCTCAAGAAATCATCACTGATGGGAAACAGCCAGAGGCTGAGACCTACAAGCATTGAGGTCCTGAGCCGGAGCCAGGACCCTCTCTGCGCGTCATCCTCGGCCGCCATTCGAATCAACCAAGACACACTAACTTCTACAACTTTGAGTCTGTTCAGAATTAGCAGTGACTCACAAAAGGCATTCTAGAAATGAAGCTGATTATATAACAGATCAAATATTCATGCGAGGCAGCCTCCTGTGGTGACTGAGTTTGAGGCCTCCACCGTAGACTGCCTAGGGCTTTGAGGAGGCTGGCCACAGATCACCAAGTCAAAGCATTGGTCCACATGCTGTGTGTGCTCAGCCCAGGCCGCCATGTCCTCTGTAGGGCTGCCCAAGCTGCTGTTCTGGATTCCTTTTTCCTCTTTCTTACTTTTTCCTTTCTTTCTTTCTTTCTTTCTTCCTTCCTTCCTTCCTTCCTTCCTTCCTTCCTTCCTTCCTTTCTTCCTTCCTTTCTTTCTCTCTCTGTCTCTCTTTATTTTTCTTCCTTCCTTCCTTCTTTTTAAAGTGGTTTGAGACAGACTGATCAGCTTGTGATGTGCTTCCCTCTTCATTTCAGTTAATCAGGTGTTGCTGTTCCTTCTGGCCCTGACCCTTTGTGGGATTCTGTACAAGAAGGTTCATAAGGCAGTTGTGCTCAAGCATGAAGCAGGTGAGTGAGCGAGCATGCAATCTGTCAGCAAGACACCTAAGTGGGGTTTCAGGGTTCCCACTGGGTCCTTTCAGTGGCTGGGTTTGGGGGCAAATGACAAGGTGGTTAACTCCCAAGGGCCAGCTTGTAAGTGTCTTCCCTAGGGCACAGTTTGGTTACGTTCCAGAACAATCAGTGCTATGCAGACTGTAGCATATGTCTGTGACACATGGAGAGCTTGTTAGAACACACCTGGACTGGTACGTTACACACACCTGTGACCGCACCCTCTGGAGGTTGAGGTAGGAGGGTTGTGAGTTTGAGTGAGTTTAGGGCCAATCTGAGTTCTCGGACAGCTTGAGAGGCTGAGCACCATAAAGGGTGGTCCTGACGCCTCCTTCCTTATGCTCCATCTTGGTGCTAGCTCTCTCGGTTCTTGGACCCACCCTGAGGGACTATCTGCACCCTGCCCCTCAGAACCTCTCCCACATTTTACCCTTGAGAATTGTCCCTTCCCTCTTCACCTTGCCCATCCATTCCCATTACTCCGTAAACAGCTTCCAATAGCTCAACTTAAAAGAGACTCTTCACCTGGGCAGTGGTGGTGCACACCTTTAGTCCCAGAACTTGGGAGGAAGAGGCAGGCGGATCTTTGTGAGTTCGGGGCCAGCCTGGTTTACAGAGTTACACAGAGAAACCCTGTCTCAAAAAACAAAAACAGAAAAAAAGGAAGAAAGGAAGGTGACCCCTCAGAGGGCTGGAGACAGGCTCAGTGGTGAAGAGAGCTGCTGTTCTTACAGAAGACTGAGGCTCACAACCGCCAGTAGCTCCAGTGCCACGGGCATCCGCACTAATGTGCGTGCTCTCTCTCTCTCTCTCTCTCTCTCTCTCTCTCTCTGCCCGGAGAGAGGGGTTGTGTTCTTCTCTCCATCCTCCATCTTGAATCTCCTCCCTACTCTTCCTCTCTCCTCCTAGTCCCGCCTATCTTGCTTTCCTATTGGCCAACAGTGCTTTAATTTACAGAATGACATCTCCCATCATTTCACTAAATGTTTATTGAATTAAATATCAGCTAGAACTACCTTGGACCGAGGTGAGAGAGCTTTTGTAAAACTGCCTGCACAGAGAGATGAAATTTAATAAAACAGTGCAGGTTGCACCGTGGCACCAAAATATAACATGGTAGCATCGGTGTTTTGTCTCCTCCGGCGCTAGGAATGATCAGTTATTCATCATAAGCACTAGCCACGCCCCTCCGTTACTCCTTCCTCTGGGTGCTAACACTTGAGAGTGGAGAGCAACAGAAACATCATAGCAGTACAGGCCAGGCAAGTCCTGACTCAGCGGAGTTCGTTCTGACTGCTGGGCCTGAGGCTCTGCAGTTCTGAGTGTTTCAGCTGTATGTGTGTTTGAGCTGTGGACTGGCTTCTGAAAAAGAGCCCCCAAATAATAGAGACTCAGAAGTGTGCCCTGTCTTCCTTGAGAATCTGATGCATGGATTCCACAGTCTTTCAGATCAAAATCCTGCGGACCTTATGTTTCTGAGGTCTTCAGGTATTTTCAATCAAGGGTTTTCCACATCATACACGTCAGGGGAGGGAGGAGGGTAGCAAAGGGCGGCACGGAGCATTACTCCGGGATGCAGACCCTGCCGGAGCACACATTACTTTAAACAACATCTCATTTGTCCAGCCTGGATGTTGGAGAACCCTCCGCAGCACTGAGGACCAGGGGTCAGACTCTGAGTCACGGATTTTGATGTTTTTTGTTTTGTTTTTCTTCAGTTGATGATTCTCAGTCCCCTGAGGACATGGAAGAGGGGATTCCAGTGGTGATCTGTGCAGCTGCAGGGAGGATGGGAGCGACCATGGCTGCCATCAACAGCATCTACAGCAACACTGACGCCAACATTGTGTTCTATGTAGTCGGACTACGGAACACTCTGTCTCGAATAAGGTAGTTTGCACGCTGTGTTTTTGGAATGCTCTATTTTCTTTTCATCTTTTTTCTCTTTAGATGGACCCTTACCACCTTCCTCTTCTCCTCCTCCTCCCTCTTCCTCTTCCTCTAGATTGAAAGCTATCATTAGAATTATTGAGAGGAAGTCCCGGGTTTATTTCTGACTAATGTGTTTCTAGATGAGGAAACATCAGCAAAGCCTCATTAGTTAAGTAGGGATGATAGGTATTTTTGAAGATATGAACTGTCTAGTGAACTAAAGAACCCCAGTCCTGAAGCAGCTCACCCAAAAGTCTTTCAGGCATTTCTGCTTAGCCAGGCTGAACAAAGGCCTAAGATCCTGGCTACTCAGGGGGCAGAGCTGGCAGGATTACTCCAAAATACAGAGAGCATGCCAGCCTGGGCAACTTTATCAGACCCAATCTCAAAATAAAGAAATAAAACAGAGAAGGCGTGTATCTCAGTGGTAGAGTGTTTCTGTGAGGACCTGGGTTCAATCCCCAGCAGATGAGGGAAAACAATTGTTCTTTTTAATTTCCCCTCTGTTTTCCTAACCTAGGAAAATATTTGCATAATCCTCATTAACTATTTTTGGAGGAAGAGACTAAAGATTTAATCCATGTCTCACACAGATTAAACACAGGCTCCACCACCGAATCATATTTGACCTGGAATGTTTGTACCACAAACTTACAACAATATAACTTTATAGGTTATATTATAATTTCGAACTCATTTTTTCCCATACTAAAAAAATGAATTGGAGTTAGAGTAAGAAGAAATCAACAGAAAATCAAATTTTAAATGTGTTTTAGAAATGTAAGATACTGGTGTAGTCTTGGTCTGGATTGGTCTGGACAGTAGCTCCCTGAGCCCAAGAATTGGAAGAAAAAGCCGACAGACTTGTCTGTATAACACAAGGGCTTCTGAATAAAGAACAGTGAATGGAATTAGTTATAAAATCAATTAGCAAAAAGTATGGCTTATAATGAAGAATTGTTGCATTTTTAAAATTTTAAGCCTACTGGAAAAATAAGCATAAAATATGAATGGACACCAAGGCCCAGGATTCTATTCCAGCTCTATAAACAACACAAAACCAAGAACCAAACCGTATCCTACTACTCGAGGGCTGTAATTAGGGACATTCTCCCAACTAAACAAACCAGCCAACCAACAAGAGTGGATCACACAATTCATAGAGATACAGATGGTCCACATAGTGCATTATCTCCTAGTTCCAGGCCTTTGGTCCTTCCTCCTCCTGTGTTTAAGTGTTTTAAAATCAGTTCTCATTGGAGTAGAACATGAGTAGACGGTATGAACCCACCAAACATTTCAGAGAGTCACTGCAAGCAAATAAATACACTTTTGTTCCCCCCAACAGTGGCAAGAGTTCTGCCACTGAGCTACCCACCCCCAACCCCCTTCTGCCAATTTGCAATCAACAGCGAATGTTGCCGTATGTGGCTTGGGTCGCTGCCAACTTTGTTTTGCGATTATTTCTACCATTATATTCTCATAACGAATCAGATGAAAGGCATACGCTCTGTGAGACTGAGTGACGGAGGGAGGGGAGGGTGGAGGAAAGAAGACAGGGTGAGGCAGAGGAGGGGACTGAAAGGCGGAGTCGTCTTTGGAGTCAGAGGGGGGACAAGACTCCAGTGGAAGGAAGGCTTGGCTTGGCACACGCCGTCCGTCCGTGCCTCAGCAATACCGTGTGGCAGTTGGTCTAGTAAGTACAGATGTTGCTTGGTAAGGAACATGCCTTGTTAGTCTAGTTTCCTGGGAGGAATTTTGGATGTGGGGATATAGTTATTACTATCTTGTTAATTTTCTAAGGTCAGACAGAGTAATCCTGGAATGGCATGCAAATTAAATCAAGGAAGGATTTGCAGTGTGTACTAGAAGTTTTTGGTCATCTCTCTAGAAAATGGATCGAACATTCTAAACTCAGAGAAATAAACTTCAAAATTGTGGAGTTCAACCCTGTAGTCCTCAAGGGGAAGATTAGACCAGACTCATCGAGGCCTGAGCTGCTCCAGCCTGTGAGTAAGAGATGTTCGCGTGGTGGGTACAGTTCTGAGTTCATGTACACTGTAGATCCCTAGCCTTAGGGTTTCTATTGCTTCTGTGGAACCCACAACCAAAAAGCCAGCTGGGAGGAAGGGCTTTGTTCCTTTTACACTTCCCATCAGTGCTGATTGAAGGAAGTCAGGACAGGAAATCAAGCAGGGCAGAATCCTGGAGGCAGGAACTGATGCAGAGTCCATCAGGGAATGCTGCTTACTGGCTTGCTCCCCATGGCTTGCTCAGCCTGCTTTCTTATAGAACCCAGAACCACCAGCCAGGGACGGGCTGGCCCTCCCCATTGATCACTAATTAAGAACATGCCCTCTAGCTGGCTCTTAGGGAGGCATTTTCTGAGCTGAGGCTCCTTCCTTCCTGATGACTCTAGCTTGTGTCATGTTGACAGAAGCAGCCGGTACACCATCTGGTGCGCACATAGGCTATTTCAGACTCATGGGTGCTAGATCCCCACAAAGCTCTGCTTATTATAACTTAGCAGCCGCCTGCTGCAGGAGGAATTTAAGATGGTTTATATAAGCACGGTGAAGCTTTTGGAAAGAAACAGGGCATGAAAATGTAGGCTACATTAGTGTGTGACGATGGCTGTGGGTGGCAGCGGGAGGTGGGCCAAGGAGTGAGGCTGGCAGAAGCATTGGGAAGCACTTCAGCTCTTGTGTCTTCTGTGAGTAATCACCAGTTAGCTCCTATTCTGAAAGCCAAGGGAAACCAGCAGTGACAGCTATGCGCCTCAGCGATGATGACGTCATATTTAGGAGACACCCATGCGTTTCCTAGCTACTGGGGTCATTTTCCTTGCAGGAGTGCTCACAAAGAGTTCCTCTCCTTCATGAAGAGCAGGTGTGTGTGTGTGTGTGTGTGTGTGTGTGTGTGATACTGTCTCTGCCTCCATCAATTAGGTAACACTCAACTAATTAGCCTTAAGATTTTCTCCCTGTCTCCCTCCCTCCCTCTCTCTGTAATACACACACACACACACACCCACCCACCCACCCACCCACCCACCCACACACACACACACGCATGGTCGTTATATGCTTATGTGTCAATGAACCCCAGCAAGCCTTTCTCCAGTCCCCCCCCCAGTCCCTCACCCCTCTCCCAGCCACAACTTGCCTCCCCCCCAGCACTGGCGGTCCAGACATGTAGCTCTGGAGCTCTGGGTACCAAGCTTAGGTCTTCGTGCTCACACATCAAACCATCTTTCCAGTCCAAAAGCAGTTTCTCATGACAGTCAGTAGAAACGAGCCACCTTCTGTATGCAAGGTATACATGTAAATCCATCCTTTTCAGTTAAACTCTAAAGCCTCTGTCTGGGATATCATCTGGCGTCAGTTGATTCTGATAGATGTCACTAATGAAAACCCAACAGACTCATGTTTCTCTGTTTTCTGAATCAAGAGTTCTAAAGGCTGGGCTTGTTGGTGTGTGTGTGTGTGTGTGTGTGTGTGTGTGTGTGTGTGTGTGTATTACAGAGAGAGGGAGGGAGGGAGGGAGACAGGGAGAAAATCTTAAGGCTAATTAGTTGAGTGTTACCTAATTGATGGAGGGAGAGACAGTAGGAAGTCTGGATCCTAGATTGAGCTTGGGGCTCTGCGGACCTCCACTGCAGCTGTCTCTGAAAGGGAAGCAGGCACTGCTTCAGTGAGTGGGGACTGGATCTACGAGAGCTTCCCTGGGCCAGCCTGGCCTCATCCCCAGAGGTCAGAGGATCAGGTTCTAAAAGCCTGGGTGAGGCATCACTTTTATCTCATTCCATGGCTAAACAGGCCGTGGGCAGAACTGACTTGTTGGTACCACACAACTGGAGCCATATGCCTTCCCCTGCCTCTGTTCCTCTTGTTTTAACAGCTGAACTTTGTTCGATTTTATCTCCCACTGCTTATCAATCAACACGAGAAAGTCATCTATTTGGACGACGATGTCATTGTACAAGGTACACTCACTGCCAAGAACCCTTGCAAGGGCACAGCTGCTAAACACAACGCCACACTTACCCCTCATTTTCCGGGTAGCTAGTTGACTTCAAATACTTTGTACAGTGAATACAGCATCATTGCAAAACTGGGAACATTTTGCGAGCAGGGTTTGGTACTTCCCCGGATAATCTAGTGGATTTCTGAGGGCCCCTCTGATTGCCACGCCTGTAGTAATTACTTTGGTAGCATCTCTGCATTCCTAAACTATGTAGAACTACAGTGTCCCTGAGGTGGCTGCGTGTGTGCGTGTTGTGTTCTTTTCCACATGCAGGTAAGGTGAGCATTCACAAACTACCGGCCACAGACCTGACCAACATTGCAGTGGCTTCCTCAATGCGCATGCGCTGTTTGTAAAAAACACCACCACGCATGGGGAGAAAGGGAGCCTGTACTCTTTCCTGGATTCCTCAATGCGCATGCGCTGTTTGTAAAAACACCACCACGCATGGGGAGAAAGGGAGCCTGTACTCTTTCCTGGAGCTAGGAATTAAGCTAAGGCTCTTCGTAGCCCCGAGATTCTTGCTGTGTTGTAATTGCTGATCCTTGCAAACGCAGGCGACATCCAGGAACTGTACGACACCACCTTGGCTCTGGGCCATGCTGCAGCCTTCTCAGATGACTGTGATTTGCCCTCCGCTCACGACAACAACCGACTTGTGGGGCTGCAGGTGTGCATGCTGTCTTAGAAATCCCACCTTACCCTTCTTCTCTGGCACTGGCCCTCCATTCCTCCTCTTGACTCAAAAGAATCACAGCCTCCCCATCCTCCAGTGGGAACTTCCAGGGGATGAGGATGGTGTGGGGGGCCCTGTTTTCCCACTCACTCAGGCCAATTTCTGTAACCACTGAGTCTCACTTTCCTGATCTGAAACACGGCATGGACACTATCTGTTCTGTGAGCTGCCATGGGATGCTAGGAAATGTCCACTGCAATGGGATACAGCAAATGCTCTAAAAAGGATGGCTATAATCCTTTTTAGACTGTGTTACTGAGTTCCCAGTATCCACACGGGCTCACAACTATACGTAAGTCCAATTCCAGGAGACCCAACACCTTCTTCTGGCTTCCTTGGGCACCACACACACACACACACACACACACACACACACACACACACGGTGCATATACATACATCAGGCAAAATACTCATGCACAAATAAAAATAATATCACTTTAAAAGGGAGCAATTAGCAGCACTTGTGGGCAGGAGTGGGAAGGCAACATTGAATGCTGGGACTAGCTGGTATCAGGAGGTATCTTGCAGCTGGGACAAACAGGGTTAATAGACTTGGATGGGGAGGAGCTAGGGGTGGCGGCGACTGTGGGGTTCTGCTTAAATAACGAGGATAGAAATACTGTCTCCCAAGGCAGGCATGTGCCTGATGGAGAGCTGCTTAAGCATCAAGAAGGCGAGACGGGCAGGGGCATCTCTGTGAGTTCCAGCCCAGCCTGGACTACAAAGTGAGTTCCAGGACAGCCAGGACTGTTAGGCAGAGAAACCCTGTCTCAAACAAAGAAAAACAAAACAACAAAAATCGCAGCCCTGACTAGGCAGATGTGGCAGTTGGAAGGCTAGAGAGGTAAGAGCTGTCAGCTGGAGTTTCGAGCCCTGAAACAGGATGGGCAGCCAATGGCATGAGAGAAGAGAGAGCGCCCAGTGTTGGGACTGACGGCAGGGCTCTCAGTACCCAGAGGCCGAAAAATGGGGCAAAACATGGAGAGGGGTGAGACAGCTCCGAGGGTAAAACACGTGCCCTGGAAGCTTGTCCTCTGATGTGTGCACATGCGTGTGGCACGCACGCACGTGCGCACACCCACACAGACACACACGCGCACACCCACACACGTGCACGCGCACACACAAACACAGACACACACGCGTGCACATACAGACATACACGCACACGCGCACACACAGACACACACGCGCATGCACACACAGACACACATGTGCACACAGACACACCCACACACGTGCACACGCACACACGCACGCGCGCACACACAAACACTCACACACACACTTTAAAGATACGCTGGGCACGGTGGCACATGCCTGATATCCCAGCACTGGAGAGGCAGAGGCAGGCAGGTCTCTGTTGTAAATTTGAAGCCAGTCTGGTCTACATATTGAGTTCCAGGACACCCAGAGCATCGTAGTGAGGCCCTGCCTCAAACCTCAAACAAAACACACCCAAAGAAAGTTGCTAGTGGCCCAGAAAAGCCCACGGCACTGCACCACAGCTGAGAATGTAAGTGTTTTCCAGAAACAGAGCTCTCCATCCTGTTCTTTCGTAGAACACATACATGGGCTATCTGGACTACCGCAAGAAGACCATCAAGGACCTTGGCATCAGTCCCAGCACCTGCTCATTCAATCCTGGCGTGATTGTTGCCAACATGACTGAATGGAGACACCAGCGCATCACCAAGCAGCTGGAAAAATGGATGCAGAAGAATGTAGAGTATGTGTGTGATGGGGACTTTCTCGGCCCCATTGTCCCCAAATGGGAAACAAGTGGCTCAGCTAATCGTTGCAAGCTCAAGAGTTTAAAAAAAAAAAAAAAGACATCTGAGGGCAGATTTTCATAGAACTTGTAGGTCAAGAAAAGGAGCATGGGTGAAATTCTTTCCCAAATGACAGAAACTGAGAATCGAGATGCTAGAAGGGATCCATTCCCTTTTATTTCCCAGTAAGTTGCTTAGTAATATGGCTTGACTCTGTCCCACTGAGGAATCCTCGCTTATTTTGAGGGGGACAGAGTATCTCTCTGTAGCCCTGGCCTGCTGGCCTGAAACTTGCTGAAACCAGGCTGGTTTTTGCCACTGACACGCTGGGATTAAAGTCAAGCACCACCACACCTGGCCACAGACTACTTTTAAGGCTAATTTCACTGCACCTGCATTTTTAAAATGCCTTTGTTAGTATTATTTTGAGACAGGGTTTCTGGCTATCCTGGAACTTGCTTTGTAGACCAGGCTGACCTCCAACTCCCAGAGATCCACCTGCTTCTGACTCCTGAATGCTGGGATTAAAGGCGTGCGCTACTACACCTGGCTCCATTTTTAATTTTGTGTATGGTGTTGTGCACCACAAACACAATCGGGATCCTTGGAGGCCAGAAGAGGGTGTCGGATCCCTTGGCACTCTAATTATAGATGACTGAATCACTATGTAGGTGCTGGGAACCTAAAACTGGAGTCCTTTGTGGAACACCAGTGCTGGTAACCATTGAGCCATCTCTCCAGCCCCTCTATCTGTGTCTTAATACATCACAGCACTTAACTTGTGAGTACTTATAATAATATAGGATCAGAACTTCTGTGCCTACCACAGAAACCCTGAGTGAGTGACGAGATGTTAGCGAGTGTAACACTGAATCTAGGTGACAGGTTTAGGTGACAAAACCCAGGAGATTGTGACTCTGGATCATGTAATGGAAGACTGGCTACACGATGTGTATGGGAGCTCCTGGTTTCCTACACTTTGAAGTTTGATCATTTATAAAAAGTCGGGAGGTAGGTGTGATAGAACCCCAGCAATAGGAAGTGAAGGCAGGGTTACCCCTAACTATATAGGGACTTCAAGGACACGAGAGCACTTCTAACAACGACCCGAGATAAAAATCAGAAAAGCAGATTAGGAACGCAATATTAGCATTTACTTGATATTTATGAGGGCTGCAGACAGAATGTTGCTTTTCTATCTCATTTCTTAGAGAAAACCTCTACAGCAGCTCCCTGGGAGGAGGAGTGGCTACCTCCCCAATGCTGATTGTGTTCCATGGAAAGTACTCCACCATCAACCCTCTGTGGCACATAAGACACCTGGGTAAGTACTGCCAGGAAGCGAGCGAGTGCACTGTCAGATGGTACATTTTAGGGTTCATGAAAAGCTTATTAACCTGGGCTGGAGAGAGGGCTCAGCATGGCTGCTCTCTAGGAGGACCCAGGTTCCATTCCCTGTACCTACATGGCAGCTCACAACCGCCTGTGACTCCAGATCCAAGGTATCTGACACTGTCACACAGACATACGAGCAATACACACGAAATAAAAATAAATTTAAAAGTAGTAAAAGATTTATGTTTTTAAAAGTCTGGATTGACGCTTAGCATAGAACTTCCACTCTGCAATGTTCTACAGAACGAAAGCTAGCACTCTGGTGTGACGGCATGCAGTGACCTTAGATAGCTGGCACTTGAATGCCAGATCTCACCATTTTCATATACAAAAATCCGACCAAAGGGGAGCTCAATGATATCTGTAAGAACAGCTATGTGAAACTGGGCTGGGGCTATGGCTCAGTTGATAAAAACATTTGCCATGTGAGCATGAGAACAATTTGGATCCCCAGGACTCTTGCAACGAAGCCAGCAATCCCAGGACTCGGGGCAGACGGGGTTCTTGGGGCTAGACGGCTAGCTACACCAGCCAGCTCTGGGCTTAAGTGAGAGACCACTCCTTCTATACTGGAAATCAATCAAGTAAGAAAGCTGATGTCAACTTTGGCCTTCTGTACACGGCCACATGCATACCTACATGCCTGCATACACACCACAGATACATGTGCAAAACAGAAAAAGGAAAAAGCACTTGGTAATTTGGGAGCAGGTCATAATCTTCTAGAGGAAAATAATCTGCTTTTCTCTGTAAGGTTTGGAATCTGACAAGATCTATAAAGTCAGCCTACACAGCAACAGTCTGGACAGTGATCTGGTTTTAATTTGTGTTGGATGTGGAAAGCCACAGTAACAATAAGATGCGCTAAGTTTGCATCTGAACTTGGTCTCGATGGCTGCTGTCACACCTCACACCTGCGCTGAGTGACAAGGGCCAGCTTTGTCATCACTTGCATCATTACCCCAGATAATCATTTTTCTCTACTCAGCTACGGAAAGAAACATAACAGCTGAGGATATGTTTCCCCCAGGGCCCCACTCCCGAGTCAGGGTTTCTCAGTGTAGCCTTGGAGCCTGTCCTGGAACTCGCTCTGTAGACCAGGCTGGCCTCGAACTCACAGAGTCCTCCTGCCTCTGCCTGCCGAGCGCTGAGATTAGAGGTGTGCACCACCACCGCACTTTGAGAATATGGATTTTCTGTAAGTTATACTTGCATGCCTGGAAGTACTGTAGAATACTGAGAAGCAGCCCGGTTAAGCTCTCGTCCCTGTTCAGTCCTTTGGTTTATTTATCAGCTGTGCACGTTGGTAGTGTCACACCAGTGAGACCAATGAGGCTTAGCTGAGGCGTGACTGAAAACTTTTGCCGTAAGCTTGTGGCCAGTGTTTCATGTAAACTGTATTCACTAACAAGCCTATTTTCCTCTGCACACACTGAAGGCTGGAGCCCGGATGCAAGATATTCGGAGCACTTTCTGCAGGAAGCTAAACTACTCCACTGGAACGGGAGACACAAGCCCTGGTACTTTCCTAGTGTTCACAATGACTTATGGGAAAGCTGGTTTGTTCCTGACCCTGCAGGGATCTTTAAACTCAACCACAATAGATGACACACTCCAACCCTGCAAATATCCCCTGGAGAAAAACAGAACTGCCCTTTGTAACCCACCCTAACCCTGATCTTTACGAGCAGCACCTCTGATATATATGATCTACAATGTAAGAAACAAAACTACTGTGTACGAGTTGAGCCGTGGACCAAACAGGCAGACTAAACGTGAAGTTCAAGTGATAATTACAACTGGCCCTTCGCTCCCCTAGCCTCTTTTTGGTGTTTTGAGACAGGGTCTCACTGTGTACCCAGGGGCTAGACTTGACTTGAATGACAATCAGATCAGGAAACTTTAGAAGTCTCTAATTTTTCACAGTTCAGTATGTTTAGAGTTGGTCTTGTTTGTTTTGATTTGTTTAAGATAAGGTCTCTCTGTATGGCCTTGGCTGGCTTAGAACTCATTTATTGACCAGGCTGGCCTCAAACCCAAAGATCTACATTGTCTCTGCCTCCTGAGTGCTGAAATTAAAGTCATGTGCCACCATGCCTGGCTGCAGGTTTGCAAAATGTTTCTCAACAGTTTAAAAAACTAAAAAATCCAGATATTGCCAGGTGGTGGTGCATGCTTTTGATCCCAGCACTCAGGAGGCAGAAGCAGGTGGATCTTTGTTAAGAGACCATCCTGGTCTACAGAGTGAGTTCCAGGACAGCCAAAGCTACACAGAGAAACCCTGTCTTGAAAAATGAACACACACACAACAAATGAAGAAACACAACAAACAAAAAGATATCTGTACAAATAAAATATTCAAGTTTTTATGATTTTCCTCATGAATTACCTCCAAGTTAAATATAAAAAGTAAACTGTCTTCAGAGTTAAAGCGAGAAAGAATACCACTAAGTCTTGCTACAGAAAAGCCAGTACCTTAATTATAGCCATTTGTAATGTTTATTGTAAAAAACCATCAAGACTTTCATATGAATTTAAAATCTCAGTATTATTTAATGAAAAAAATCTCATCCTGTCATGTGCAGGACACATCAATACTACTATTTGTCATGTTCAATGAAAAGTACTGGGACTGTAGTCAGAAGATCCTCACACCCATTCCCCAGAGGGTCATAATTTAAAGGTATTTTTCTACTCAAGGAAATCTATGGTAAAGCTACAATAGTCATATACCAAAGCAATACCTAGTTACATGCTTTACACAGTCCCATGGAAAAAATAATTCAGTTGATCCTAGTCCCTGATGCAAGGCACTTCAGAGCACCTGCACAAAATGTCCATGTAAACAGCAGTGCAGTACACCTAAAATAACATGACTCACACACAGCTTGACTAGACTTATGGAAAAATAAGATCCATCGTTGCCACAGCTAAAAGGCATGTGAAGATTTACAAGAAACTGCTTCTCTTATTATTCATAGAAGAACAGGCTGCATAACCTCTGTGGAATATAAAACCTCACGGACATTTCATACTACAAAACCAGCATATTCCTTGGGTATGCGCTAAGACAGAATATTCATGAGTGATCAGGAGTGGATGCAATAGCTATTTCTGAATACCCAGTTTTAATATCCCACAGCCCTAATGGGCTGGACTATTTGTAGCACCATGGAAAATGCATCAGAAACCACAAAGGTACCAATTCCAGCCAACCTTTTCATGAGGTTCACATAAGTGTACAGTAACAAACAGTAGTGACAATATTTTTAAATTATTGACTAGTTTTAACTAGCAAGAAAACTGCATTATCTCAGTAAAACCCCTGTACACACAGCACCATTTTAAACAGAATTGTCAAACACCTGAAGCATCATGTTGCTCACCCTGAAAGTTCATTTCTTACCACTTCCCACGTCAAGGATAAAATCAGAACAGTGGTAAACACTGATGGGGAAATTCAATAAAACACACGATTGGCAGCTATAAAAGGTCTACTGCATTCTCAGGAACCCACCGGCTCAGCAAAGCAGTGTCTGCCTGTGAGAGGCCCAACACACAGGAGCGGGAGGCCAAAGGCAGGGCTCAGGTCCCACTCTGCTTCTGTTACTAAGCAACCGCCATACACACCTCGTGGAGAGTGTGACTACAACCCAGCGAGTTCTGAGTTTACCCCAGCTTCCAAAACTAAGCAGACTCCACTGAGGGCTGGTTAGCTTTCTATGTGGAAATGGGCACATCTGCCAGTTTCTTACTAGCATGCCCTTCTGAGGCATTTAAAGGAATAATAGCATATATAGGTATGCACAGTCAAGAATCAATTATAACCATTCAGACTGTTGCATTTTAAAAATAACACAGAGTGACCCCCCCAAAGAAAACCAGTTTCTTCATAAATGAAATCTAGTATAGAAAAAGCTGGAATGATGGGTAATTCAAATACAAAACTCAGGTAGAAAACAGCCTACTGTTTCCTTTCAACTACACAGGCTCATGCAGTTGACTCTACCACACAACTGCGCCATACATATTACACCACTAGTGTAAGGTTCTAACACTACCCACTCAGTGAGGGCTGCTCTAAAACTGCAGTGCTGAGGCACAGCCCAGAAGACGTCATCAAGCATGGCTTCCTTCTTCCTGCTCCTGTGTCCCACGGGTATTAAAAGACGGGATCTGGTCTGTAAACGGCTGTGTCACCCACTGCATGGGGACGCCACCAGGGGCTGCTTCTCCTGTTAGCTCTGTGCGGTCGGCTGCTGGAAGGGAAGGAATCAAAGTTCACTGTCGAGCTTCAACGATCTCATGAGATTTTAAAAGTGCATTGAGGAAGAATTATTAAAATACTGAGCGTGCTTTTAAAACAATTGTAAGTTTCTACTAGACTTTCAGACCTAGGACTAAGAAATTGACATTTGTTACACAAGAAGCCAAAACTTAAAGGGTGTGAAAGCTGACTTAGTGGGCCCCATTCTGTATGGAGACTTGCCCAGCCTAGACACAGGGTGTGGGGGTGGAGAGACACCTTGGTCTTGCCTCAACCAGATGAGACAGACTTAGACTTCCTAAGGGAGACCTCACCCTCTCTAAGAAGCAGATGGGGGGGAGGGGAGGCGGGAAGTGGGAGGGGAGTAGACAGGGGTAACTGGGATTGGAATGTAAAAAATAAATTAATAATAAAAAAGATGTGAAAAAGCTTCAGTCAATTAATTACATTTTGATATCAGGATTCCTAAATCTTCAAAATGTACTTCTTTCTGTTTCCATTACATTCCCATCACCTCCCAATCCTCCGAAAGAAACGAATCTGGAGAGAACATACTTAGCCCATTTGAAGGAAAGCTGCAAGGTTCACTCTGACATGGGTTCTCACTGAAAGCATTGCCATACGCGGCTTCGTAGCCGGGGTCATACTTTTCTTCCTTGACAGCCATCTTCTTTGCATCCTCTGTGGGGAAGATCAAAGAGGCTGAAACTGATGTTTCTAAGAGTCAGCTGAGTTGTGGGACTTGGTACAGTTTTGTTTTTTAAGATTTATTTTTATTGAGCCAGGTGGTGGTGGCACAGGCCTTTAATCCCAGCACTCGGGAGGCAGAGGCAGGCGGATCTCTGTGAGTTCGAGGCCAGCCTGGTCTACAAAGCGAGTTCCAGGACAGGCTCCAAAGCTGCACAGAGAAACCCTGTCATGAGTGAGTTGCATGAGTTTATGTGCATGCAGGAGGCTGGAGGGCGGAGGATGCCCTGGAACTGGGGTCACGGGTGGCTGAAGCGGTTCTGAGACCTGAACCCGGTCTTCTACAAGAGCAACAAGTGTTTCTCCCCGAGCCACCCACGGCTCCAGCTCCACCGCTACTGTCTTCAAATACTAAAGTAGCTTGTAAGAGCTGGGAAACCCACCACTCAGTTTTAGGCAGAGAGGTGCTCCTTAGACCCAGAATAGGGGGAAACCGTGGTGCAGGAGATATGAGCAGACCCTGAAATCCATTACCAGAGAGAGCATCTGACTGGTTTCCCTCCCTGCCGCTTTAAATCCACGCCCTCTCTGGTCTCTACACACAGAAACTGGAAAGGGGAGGGATGGTTAACAAACCTTGTGCGAGCTGTAGGTCAAACGTGTATTGCACCTCCTGAACGTCTGTGTTCCGTTCAATGCCTCTGAGCTGATCTCTTAGGTCCTTCAGCTTAATGTAGTAATGAACTTTGTCCTGGGCTCGAGGGAACTGAGCACATCTGGCGCTGGAAGACGGCATGACGTAGCAGAGCTGGGATCAACAAGTTTTAAAGTTTCAGAGATTTTAACACTTGACTGAATCTACTCATACTGTGGTTAGAAAAACTTATCTTTATGTGGCTTAATAACTTGACACTTACATTAAAAACCATAGCTCCCCTCTACCAATAGTTCCTCTATCAATCTTCTCTTTTTATAGTACATACATATTTCACAATTCAAAAGGAACAAAAGGGTTAGCATTTATGAAGCTTGCCCGCCCAGCTCTCTCTATTCACCTGGTTCCTTTGCTGAGGAAATCACTGAGTTCACGACGTGTTCATGAACAATCAGAGGCATCTAGAGTATCAACTGCCACTCATCCCTTTTAATAAAGCATCGTGTGCTCTACATCCCTGTACAACCTGTTGCTCTTTTTACTCAACAACGAATCTCAGAGATGTTCTGACCACAGAGTAGGGGGGGGGAGTGCCTTTTAAACGCAGTTTTAACTTATTAGCCAGAGCTAATTGTAGATTTTAGGTTGTTTTGAGTTCTTTTGTCAACTATAGGAAAAAGCTTTATACATCATTAATTTGGAAATGTTCCCAGAAATTGAGGGGATAGATTACTATGTTTATGGTGAGTGTTAAAGGCGGTTTCTTTATCATATATTATAATGTTGCTTTGAGGCTTCCTTATCCTATATTAGTTTGGAGAAACTCCTAATGTACAGACATGGCTCAATGCCATAGAATGTAACAGAGTATGTTAGCATGTTTACAACAGCATATTTCCAAGGTGTCCTTCAATTAAAATGACCCAGAATAGACTGGCTGGGTATGATGGATCACACCTTTAATCTCAGCACACAGGAGCACAGGCAAATGGATCTCTGTGAGTTTGAGGACAGACTGGTCTACATAGTGAGACCACTTCCCCTAACCCCCAAAGTAAAAGAAGAAAGTAAATTGTTTTCTCTGTGAGCTATCGTGGAAAATAAGGGTGGGGAAAAACAGATAGGTTGAATAGATGTTTTTTAAGGGAGAACTTACAACAGAGACACATGAACTCCAGCAGGTTCCCGTCTCAAGGATGTCTCGGATGCTCTGTCTCCAACCAGGAAGCAAGAGAGCTCTCTGGGGTCCCTACCTCAGACCTAGTTCCCCCAGGCCATGTCCGCATCTGTCCCCACCCCCAATGGGCGTGGTCAGTACAAGAGGTGTGGAGAGTGGATACCTCACTACAATGAGCTAAATCACTAGTAACATCAATAGCTTCTGTTTTCACAGTAAAGAATACACTGCATAAGATAAACTCAGGGTCACCAAGAGGCTGCACAGTTGCCAGTTACTGACCCACGTACAGAATCACCTGTGAAGAGGCAATGTCACCTGAAGAGTTATCCAGATCAAACGAGCCTGTCTGCGAGGCACTTTCTTATTCTGGGGTAGAGGTGGGGTGGGACATGTGTGTGTACAAGAGGAAGCTCAGAGGACAGCTTGTGGGAGTCAGTTCTCTCCTTCCAGAACACCTATCTGGGGACTGAACTTAGGTTGTCAGGCTTGGCAGAAAAGTCTAAACCCACTGAACCATCCTGCCAGTCCCATGAGGCATTTTCTTAACGCTAATATATGGGAGGGCCCCCTACCCCCAAACTGCGAGCTGTGCCATCCCTAGTGAGCCCATTTTTTTTGTTTGTTTCAAGATTTATTTTATGTGCATTTGTGTTTTGCCTGTATAAATGCCTGCATGAGGGTATTGGATTTCCTGGGAGTTACGGACAGTTGTGAGCTGCCATGTGGGTGCTAGTAATTGAGCCCAGGTCCTCTGGGATAGCAGCCAGTGCTCTTAACCGCTGAGCCATCTCTGCAGAGCCTGGGCTTTATAAGACGGCACGCTGAGGCAGCCAGAGGAAGCAGAAAACAGTTTCACAGTCTCTGCTTCCCGGGTCCTGCGCTTGCTCCCGTCTATGATTTTGTAAGGGGAAATAAATCCTTTCTTTCCAAGTTGCCTTTGGTTAGGGTGTTTATTACAACAACAGAGTGCAAACTCGGCTGTTCAGCCATCAAGTGTTTACAGGAAAAGACATGTAAGGGGCTCAATGCCATAGAATGTACACAAAATATACTGACTTGCGCTCTGTACAATTTTTGTTTGTTTGTTTTTTGAGACAGGGTTTCTCTGTGTAGCCTCTGCTGTTCTGGAACTTACTTTGTAGATCAGAGTGGCCTTGAACTCACAGAGACCCTTCTGCTTCTGCTTTTAAAAAGTTGTGTACAGGGTCTACTCTGGAGGCTGAAATAGGAGGATGGCAAAGCCTGAACTACAGAGAGATTTGAAGTCTGCTTTGGACATTCTAATGAAACTCTATCTAGAAACTAAAAGTAAAAAGAAGGCTGTAGTAGAGCACTTGCCTAGGTTGTGAGAAACCCTAGGTTCAACCTCCAGTAACGCCCCAACTGAATGTACATAAATTGCAGCTATTCCAGAGGGCCTGAGTTCAGTTCCCAGCAACCACACAGTGGCTCACACCCATCTACAGTGGGATCTGATGCCCTCTTCTGGAATGCAGCCCTATGTGCAGACAGAGCACTCATACCTAAAAACAATATATAAATAAAAACTTTGAAAAACAGAGGGCCAGGGCATAGCGAAGTTATAGAATAATTGCCTAACATGCACAAAAGACCCAGCGCAACAAAACAAAACAAGACAACCAAAACCTATGCACCCAAGTGGTTAAAAAAGAAGAGCAGACAAAACCAGGACCAACGGTCTGCAGGTACTCTGTGGAGTTAGTCTGAAAGTCACTATATGGACTGACGGGGTATCTTAGTAGTTAAGAGCAATGGTTGCTCTTACAGAAGACCCAGGGTTCAATTCCCAGCACCCATGTGGTGGCTCACAATTGTCTGTATATCCAATCCCAGGAAACCTGGTGCCCCCTTCTGGACTCTATTGACATTACACACATGTGGTACACAGACATATACAAGTAAACATCCATACACATAAAAATAATAAATGAATAAAATGTAAAGAGAAAACCACAAGGCTGTCTCTTATATCCTTGATTATGTGATGTAGCAAACAGGCAGTTGGCTGGCTGTTCATCTAGTGTGTATGGCTCTAAAATTAAGCTGGGATTAAATGTACAGATGATGTAGCTAACTAATTTTACCACTGAGGACTGTGTTTATATGTATGCCTGTATTTTTAAGTAATTGCCACTGATGACATTCTGAACGTAGTGTGAGTCAGTTCCTCTGACGGTTAGCTGACAAATACTTTTAAATAAAACACTAACTGCATCTGAAAGTGTAAACTGATAATTAACAAAACAGATGGCTTTTCTCATGGCAAAAATGGCAATGTCTGAGACAAATGAGAAGGACAACTAGCTCGAAGTCCTAGGTGGTTTACAGACGGACTTGGAGGACTTACAGTTTCTGTGTCTGGGATCTTGTGGGGCTGAAGCCCAAATTCCAAGTTCTTAACCCTTACTCCAAAAACTTCTTTACTGAAAATTTCGTAAATACCTGAAATAGAAAAACACAAACATATTCATCACTGCCTCGACAGCAACATAGAGAAAAGATAAAAATGAGGATGTAAATCTCACATTTTCCATTAAACACCGCTATTCGTGGCTGGTATTTCTGTAGTTTCTGCACTAGGATTCGCCCGCCTTCCCGGAATTCTTTACTAAAATTGAATTAAGAAGCAGTAAGGAACATAAGCACAGAGTGTTTGCAACGGGCTGCCTTCAGGCAGCTCTCAGTAAACATCACACATGCAATGTTCCTAAGTAACACGAGAGCCCATACCACCATGAACTCATTCTCCACAGCTACCTGGACAGATCCTTGCTTCCCGGAGTCGTCCGTTCCACCATGTTGGTGAAGCCGATGCCATACTTCCCAGGTAAGGTGTGGTCATCCAGGTGATTCAGCTGAACCTCACTCAGCCCGGACATGAACAGACACTTCCCTGTGAAAGACAACCCTGTCACTCCCACAGAAAGCCACAAGCCCTCAGCAAAAAGCCAACGAAACGGTACACACCCTGCTGCTGAACCTGAAGGGGGGTGAAGGACTGAAGGTATATTAAAACTTAATGACCTAGGGGTGATACCATATTCAACAATAACAGCGGGTTGGATTACCATGCTAATCACTATGATTTTAATAACATCACTTTCTTACAAGAAACTATCATTGACTTTGCATGCACAGCTTCAAACTGCTTTCTTACCCAGTTACTGGTAGTGAGTGTCACCATCTGCCCTTGGATTACCCCAGAGTAAACTAACACCTTAAGACTGGGAGAAACTAAGACACACTTCCTCAGAATTAAAATAGTAACAACAGGAAGAATATGGTGCTGGTTCCAAGTATGCCATTACTTAGCCTAAGCGTCTGGAGTACTCTTATACTCTTGGATGAGGACTTTTTTGAGGACATGCACTGCTCTCATAGGCGGTGGTAAAGGGTCTGTATGAACAACTTACACATTTAAAACAATACAACACAGTAGTAGTATTTACGGTCTTTAGACAAAGTCTAACTGATATCTAACAATCAACGAGTTTCCTTTAAGAAACTTTTTAAAAATGTGGATGGGTGTGTCTCAGTCAGGGTTTCTACTGCTGTGATAAAGACCACAACCAAATGCAATTTGTGGAGGGTTTATTTCAACTTACATCTCTCAGGCCACTCTCCATCACTGAAAGAAGTCAGGGCAGGAACTCACGGCAGGGACCTGGGGGCAGGAAGTGATGCAGAGGCCATGGAGGATGCTCCTTACTGGCTTGCTCAGCCTGCTTTTTCATACAACTCAGGACCAACTGCCCAAGGTGGGATCACCTACAGCAAGTAGACCTTCCCACAGCCATCATGAATTAAGAAGATGACCCACAACTCAACCTGGAGTCAGCATTTTCTCTTACCAGATTACTCTACTCTTGTGTCATACTAACAAAAAAAATAATAAAAATAAAAACAATCACAGCAGGGTGTTGTGTACCATGTGTGGGAGAGTGCTGAAATAAGGCATCAAGTCCCCTGAACTGGAGTTACAGGTATTGGTGAGCCACCATGTGGGTGCTGGGAACCAGACAGCCGATGCTCTTAACCTGTGAGCCACCTCTCCAGCTCCACAATCAATACTTTTTATGTGTTCAAGGAAACAAACACCTTCGTAATGCTGCAACTCTTTCCTACAGTTCTTCTTGTTGTGGTCACCCCCAACCATAAAATTATTTTCATTGCTACTTCATAATTGTAATTTTGCCACTGTTATGAATCGTGTTGTAAATATTTTTAGACACAGAGGTTTGCAAAGAGGTCTTGACCTACAGATTCAGAACCACTGGTCACACTGTCACATCCAAGTACTACTGTTACTGTGTCTATGGGACAGACGGACGAACACACACACACACACACACACACACACACACACACACACACACACACACACCTTAAAAAAGTATCAAGGGCAGGCATGGTGACACACGCCTTAAATCCCAGCACTTGGGAGGCAAAGGTAGTGGGATCTCTGTGAGTCCAAGCCATCTTGTCTGTATAGTAGTTCCTGAACAGCCAGGATTACATAAAGAGACTCTGTCTCAGTTTTTTTTAAAGTAATGTAACAATAATAAATAAGTCTATAAAACCCTGAAAACATTTTGAGCAAAGAGAAGGTACAGCATTTAGCTGGTTGTAGAGTGAACATACGCTTAGCATGCGCAGAGTCCAGTGTTAGATCCCCAGCTCCACAACAAAACACCAGAAAGTACTTTCCATGCCCTCTGCCCCCACTACATCAAATGTGAACATGAGAGGCCATGTCAGATAGTTAACCTTCATGCATACACTCGGAGAAACACGCCATCTGAGTATATTTTATCTGTACCATTCTCATAAAATCAGCCTATTAATCCTAAAAGGAACTTTAAAAAGTAGACACTTACAGAAATGATTTCCAGGTCCAGGGTAATGATGACCCTTGTAAGCAGCCATTAACCCTGGGTTAATGCCAATCTGTAAAACAAAATAAGTAAACAGTTTTCTCTTTAGAAGTAAAACTTAACGACTCAGACAAATAACACATTTTGTTTCATATGCAAAGTCCAGAAAGGTAGGCTGCTCTGTTACGGCACCTCCCTACACTATGTAGTCTACCGTCTCTGACCCTTTCCCTCCCACACTGCGCTGCCTCGCCCAGCCTCCAGGTGGCAGTGTGTGCCTGGTCTTATTGTAGCTTATGCCCTGTTTACTTGGTGTCCCCAGAGAGCCTGTTCTTCTCTGAGGGCAGGCAGAGGTGGGGTGGATCTGGGGAAAAGGGGAGGTGGGGGAGGGAGAGAAAACTGTGGCCTGGATATAATGTATGAGAGAATTAAAGAAAAAAGGAGGCCGGACTGTGGTGGAGCGTGCCTTTAGAGAGGCAGAGGCCAGTCTGGCCTACAAAGTGAGTTGTAGGGCAGATAGCCAGGACTACACAAAGAAACCTTGCCTCAAAAAACAGAAAAAGAAAAAAATTAAAAATAAAAGAAAAAAAGGTAGACTGTTTGATAAGAAAAAAAAATCAGGGAAGGAAGTATGAGAGGGTGACTGGGCGGTGAATACAAACAAAGTACACACACACACACACACACGCACACACACGCACACACATAGACACACACACGCACGCACACACACACACACACACACACGTATGAAACACAATGATGCCTGGACACCACACACACACACACACACACGTATGAAACACAATGATGCCTGGACACCACACACACACACACACGAAACACAATGATGCCTGGACACCACACACATGTATGAAACACTATGATGCCTGGTCTATTGTGAAATTACTACATGCTAAAAAACAAAAAAGGGCCTGGAGAGAGGACTCAGAGATCTTTCAGAGGTTTTGAGTTCAATTCCCAGCAACCACATGGTGACTCACAGCCACCTGTAATGAGGTCTGGTGCCCTCATGTGCAGGCAGACAGACATACATGCAGGTAAAACAGTATATTTATAATAAATAAATCTTTAAAAAAAAAAAAAAAGTCAGGCTCCAGCCTTAGGGCTTTTATACAGGAGCGGCAGATAAATGGAAAGGATTACAATTGCTGTAGCACACAGAAATTCCATTCTATTATTTGCTGCTGTTTCCCAAACACCAACTGGACCTTTTACCGAAGCAGGCTGCTGTCAGTCAGGAAAGAGACAGGCCTTCCAGCAGGCAGTCTGAGCCATGTCCTGCCAGCCTCTCACACTAATTTCCTCTACAGAATGCATGCACAGTGGTACACAGATGCTCATTAGGGTCTAGTGTCCCTTACAGTTACAGACATGGGCCCAGTACTGGATGTGGGGGCGTAGGCTTGTAACAGAGTGAGAGGCACCTAGAGTTGCTGCAAGTTTGAGACCAGCCAGGGCTACAAAATTATCAAAAGCAAAACCACTCGAGGGCCCTCATTTAGCAAGTACCAGCTACGCTGCAACCTAAGTGGTTCACACGGGTCATTTCGTGCAACTGTGACCCTTTGAGAGAGGCAGTCACACGCTTCATCAGTGATGAAATCGTAGAGATGCCCAGGGCCTTCCCTTGTTGGAAGGTTAAACCCAGGCAGCCCCAGTCTCGGAAACCTTTCCAGAAGCATGCTACTTGGAAGGACCACTAAATTAAACCCTAGTGATATTTACTGTCAACAAAGACAAAACTTCTTACAATCACAATGTCCAGATTGAAGGTCAAAATGTCAGGAAGGGTCTTGGTCAAAAGCTCAGCTTCGGAAACGCCATTGAAACGGTCCACTTTTCTTTTGACTTTAAATGCGTCTGTGATTTTTTCTTGCTTTTCTTTTGACTTCGTCGACTTGCCAGATTTTTTTGGCCCAGCAGGTTTTTTGGGTTCCACGGGATCCTTGGGTTCTGATGCTCTGGCTTTTCTTTTCCTTCTATTTGGAGCCTCTGAAACACAGTGATTTCCAGAATGTGGCTGTAAAAACTTAGAAACTGTAGGAGATTCCACAGCAGTCACCCTATGAATACCCATGTTTTCTGATCCAGTTATGGCCTTATATTTCCCAACACTGGTCTCTACAATGTGTTCCTCTCCATGTAAGCACATGTGAGAGTCAGACTGATTTTCTATACAATGTCATCTGGCTTCTTGAACCACTTTATGAGACATTTATCACTACATGATAGAATCCTCTGAGACTCAGGACACATTAGCATTGTCAAGAGACACTTGACTGTCAGGAAGAATGACACAGACAACAGGAACCTTTGGCCAGGCGTTGGTGGCGCACACCTTTAATCCCAGCATTTGGGAGGCAGAAGCAGGCAGATCCCTGTGAGTTCGAGGCCAGCCTGCTCTACAGAGAGAGTTCCAGGACAGGCGCCAGAGCAATACAGAGAAACCCTGTCTTGAAAAAAAGCAAAAACAAAAACAAAAAACAACAACAAAATCCGGGAACCATTGGTCCCCTCACCCTTCACTCTCTGAAGGCTTTCCTGTTTTCTCAGGCTTCTGCTCCCTTCTACTGCGTACTTTCCCAACCAAGCCTGGGAGGCGGCTTCAAGCCTCCTTACCAAAGTCCCACCACCACAGCCTAGCAGCTGGGGAAGCCTTAGTGCCCCGCGTCTGCAAACACAGAAGTGAGGCCAAGACTATTGCTCAGTGCTTAAGAGCACATTGGCTGTTCTTCCAGAGGACCTGAGTTCAATTCCCAGCACCCACACGGCAGCTCAACTGACTGTAACTCTAGTTCCAGGGATACGATGCCCTCTTCTGCTCTCTGTGGGCACCAGATACACATGTGCATAGACACACACGCAGGCAAACACACATAGCATAAACAAAAATATTATGTCACTCAGCCTCACGCAGTGGAGCACACCAGGCTTTAGTATCTATATGAACCATATTGATGGTAGACACGCAACTCTACCTTGAGTCTTTCCCAACTTTGTCCATGTTCTCTAATATTCTTTATATCTTCCCCAGCTTATATAAACAGCCTCTAATCCACTCCCTGCTTTCAAGCCTGTCTTGCTCCTGGCATATCCTCCAGACTGGCTTTTAAAATGTCCACTGAAGTCACTGTTCTGCTCCTCTCAACAATACAGCTCTCTCCACTGCTCTGGGAACAGAGCGCCCCTTAGGGTCAATGGCCTGAAGCCCCATCTCCCACATTTCCTCTATATTCCAGAATCCACACAACCACTCAGGGTTCCGGCTGCCAGGCCTCAACTCTGTTCCCTCAGCCGGCACCTTGATTCTCTGTTGTTCATGGGATGTCGTTCTACCTTGACTTCCAGAGCGCCTGTGTTCATGCTCTGCTGCCTGGTCTCAGGCCTCCATCTTGTGCCCCTGTGCGGCACGTGGTGTACAGATGAGAAACATCTGTTTGCCACTCTGCAAGGGGAGGAGGCACTCAGGGACGGAGCCATGCTTCAAACCAGCACGCTAAGAACTACCTGGTGCAGGTTCCGGGGCAGGAGCTTCTGCTGGCATCTGCTCTTCAGTCGTCAGGGTCATGTTGGGCGTTTCGGCCATCAGTTGTTGAAACGGAGATGGATAGAAAGCTTGAACTTGCTCCAGAGAACAGCTGCAGCAACAGTTAGGGCAAGCTGTGAGTTTAAATGAAGCTGTGAGTGTACAAAGAGTCTTCAGAACCCACGTGTTTTATAGCCAGACGGTAGTCACGAGTCAAAGAAAATAGGCGAGAAGGGAGGTCTCCTCCCTGGCCTTTACCAAGTGCTCACCATGCGAGCGTTAGCTCTTACTGCGCAGTGGCCTGAAGTGCCAGCAAAGCTGCCAGTCCTATCACGTTACCTATGCTTTCTCTGCAACAAGATCACAGGAACTTTCTAGTAGACTTGAAGGACTTTCAATCCATAGGAATTAAAAATATTCACAAGTGCAATTTTATATCCCGAGCACTACTCCCCATCTCGGCACAAGGATTTCCCCATCCTGACAGAGTAACTTAGGTCCCCCCCCCCCAGGCGGGGTATCTGAGTAGCCCTGGCTGTCCCTGAACTCGGGATCCACCTGCCTCTGCTTCCCAAGTGCTAGGATTAAAAGTGTGCACCACCACTGCCTGGCCGTTTGTGTGGTTTGTTTTGTTTTGTTTTTTGACACAGGGTTTCTCTGTGGGCCTATCCTGGAACTCGCTCTGTAGACCAGGTTGTAGATCACAGAGATCCACCTGCCTCTGCCTCCCGAGTGCTAGGAAAAAGGCATGCACCACCACTGACCAACGTGTTTTTTTTTTTTTTTTTAATGTATCCATTGAACTAGGTTTTCGTTATTGTTGGCTTTTTAATTTAGTTGTTGCTTGCCATTTTCTGGACAGTAGAAGTGGGTTATTTTATAAGTATCTGTTTAACCTAAGAAACAAACGCCTCTAAAGTACAGACGTCATTGAAAGTAAAGCACACAGGCCTTGCTGCACATGGAGATGTGTTGCTCTCCTCCCAACTCCGGTGAGATGAAAGCAGGGCACGGAATCCCAGCTACAGAGACTCGGGCTAATAAAACAGAAACCCACTCCAAAGCCAAGCCTTTGAAGGCCCAAAAGTGTGTGCCTCCACTGCCCGGCCCAAAAGCCTTTCTACAGTGACCTAAAAGTGTCTCAAACTGCCATCAGCATGTAATCAAGGAACGAGCTGAACTGCAGCAGTAGCAAATAATGGCACTAAGTGGAGAATGTATTCAGAAAAGCAGGGAAACACGTTTACTATCTGGAGAAGCCATGGTTTCCGTGGCAAGACGCTCTGCTTAGCAGCTCTTTCTCGGTGTCTTGTTGGGAAAGAAAGATGCTCAGAAAGCAACAGATAGATGATGAAGAGAGGTCCAGCTCTCAAATATCCAGGCTCATTCCCAGTACCCACATCAGCAGCTCCCAATCTGCTGTAACTCTAGTTACACAACTCTTCCACAACTCTGTACACTTGCAGAGATGGTGCACACATTCTTATATACCCACAAACACATAAATAAAAAAGCAAAGGTCAAACGAGCCAATTCTGTAATTAGTCTCATCTCAGTAAAATAACTGCCAGGCAATGGTGGCACACACCTTTAATCCAAAGATTTAAGAAACAGCTTTGCCTCAAGGGAGTGCGCGGGCACACGCGCACACACACACACACACACAGGCACGCACACACACAGGCTACCTCCTGAGATACAATCCTGCATTGTTTCTGAATGTTGTCTCCAGGAGAGGGGCAGCACCAGAGAGAACTGAGTTGTCATCCCTGCTGCCCAGCCTCCCTTCCCTCATGATGCTAGTAATGAATTAATTATCAGCCTGTAAATCAAGCAGGACTAAACCTGTTGAGATCTGAACAGACCCTGTATTTGGTTGGTGTGGGCAATACTTAAAAAAAAAAAAAAACCAACAACTTAATGGAAGAGCTTTTCCTTTGCCCAGATTTATACTTCTCTCACCCTTAAATCTAAGTAGCCTACCTCAGAAAACACTTGTGATTTTACATACAAATCCTCTGAGAAACACAAGCCAGTGTTGTGGTTTGTATGATAATGGCCCACATAGGCCCCTATATTTGCATACTTGGTTCCCAGTTGACAACGTTTGGGAAGGATTAGGAGGCGTGGCCCTGTTGGAGGAGGCTCAGGTTTCAAAAGCCCACCGCAGGCCCAGCATCTCTTCTCTTTCTGCCTGCTGTTTTCAGGTCAGGATACAAAGCTCTCAGCTACTGTCCCAATGCCCAAGGGTCTGAAACCATATGCTAACCCCCAGTTAAATGCTCTCGTTTATAAAAGTTGGTCATGGTGTCTCTTCACAGCATCAGAACAGTGTCACCGTTTTCATTTAGTCTTGCTATAAACTACATCCCTTGAGCAACGCAGTCTAGACACAGAGTTACATCGACAGCCACCGAAGATGCCTGTGGACTTGCCTTTGGTGTGTCCTGTCCTCTTAAACTAAGCACCACCCCCGCCATGCTTGGGCCAGGGGCATGGTTTAGCAGGCATCGGTACTTGCCACCGAGACTGATAACCTGAGCGGAAGGAGAAAACACACTCCAGTAAATTGTTCTCTGACCTCCGTGTTGGGCCTGTGGTGCCTGGGCACACCCACACGCACATAGGACACACACGCATGGGTGAGCGCGTGTGCAGGCACAGTGCCAGGCGAACAGTAGAACAGATGAGCGCTCACTTACGGTCGGTCCCTCACCTGCCTGACAAGCCTATAACCCCGCTTTGCTGACTCACCCTGCTCTCACCCTGCAGGGCAGACCAACTTCCAGCTTCACTGAGCAGGGGCCTGCGAGGGCCACTCCTCAGACCGCTGACTGCGGGCAGTACCAGCACAGCCCCAGTCCAACTCAGGGAGCGCCTACGGACAGATCTGCAGGCGTACCTTCTAGGAGACACCAAGGCGACGGTCGGTACGACGGGCTCCAGACCATGCATTCGATGGAAATGTCCGTCCTTCCCCCCTCATCTGCTGGCCTCGGCAGCTCGCACGGCCTTGCGTCACTACTCCACTCATTCTGCATGCAGCCTCTATCTATCCGCTCTGCAAGCCCCCCCCCCCCCGTGGGCTGGGCCACTGCTCACCCCCTGGCCACTGCTCACCCTGCAGCTGGTAAAGAGCCGGGGAACAGGGTGGGGGCTAGACGTGCACGCCCCGTCAGTAGAGACCCCTACGTCTTCCCGTTGTAAACCTGCCTCCCATTTCAGGCCCACGACCCGCCATCAGCCCCATCCATCTGCTCACAGACATGGACTGGCGATGGCCCAGCCGTCGAAGGGGGAGGCAGGCTGGAGACGGACGTCTGGCCTAAGTTCGGTGCCCACCCTCCACCGACCGGGCCCAACAGCACATGGGCGCTCCAGCCAGGCCCTGCCACCGAGTGCTGTCCTCATTCCCATTTCCGTCCAGAGTCTGAATCTCCAAACCTGTACTTCGGCACCCGAGGGGCAGAGCTAAAGGCCGCCTCGGAGCCCCGGGGTGCGGGCGGGGGGGCGGTCTCCAGACCGCCTTCCCCGCGCGATCACACACACACACAGAGACACACACACAGACACACACTCAGACACACACACACACACCCGGGTGCACACTCAGACACACACACAGACACTCAAACCCGGGTGCACACACACACAGACACACACCCGGGTGCACGCACACACACACTCACATACCCCCGGGTGCACACGCACACACACCCCGGGTGCACACACACACACCCGGGTGCACACACACACACCCGGGTGCACACACACACACGCGCACACACACCCCGGGTGCACACACACACACCCGGGTGCACACACACACACGCACACACACACCCGGGTGCACACACACACACGCGCACACACACCCCGGGTGCACACACACACCGACACACACACACACACACGCGCACACACACCCCGGGTGCACACACACACACGCGCACACACACCCCGGGTGCACACACACGCGCACGCGCACACACACCCGGGTGCACACACACGCGCACGCGCACACACACCGACACACACACACACACACACACGCACGCACACGCAGTCACCCGGGGGCCGCGGACCGCGCGGGCGGGGGAGGGGAGGGGGAGGGTGCGGGCCCCACGCGCACGCGCAGCCCGGCCTTTGTGCGGGCCGCCGCCCCGGGCCGCCCCCGGCCGGGCGCCCGCGTTACCTGCGCGCGCCCCCCGCGTCCATGGCGGCGCCGCTGGGGGTGAGGCCGCTGCCGCCCGGCCCACGGGGCCCGCTCCGCCGCTCGGCGCGGGGGACTCACCGCACGGTCGGGGCGCCGCCGGCGGACGGAAGACGCTGGCCTCGCCCCGCCCACGCCGCACGTCACCAGGCGCACTTCCGCCACGTGACGCCGGCCGTGCCAACGAGGCCCCGCTGACGTCAGCGCCCCGGGCCCTGAGCTTCCGGTGGGCTGTGGGGTCGCGGTGCACGGCCGTGCCACGCGGATTTGGTGCAGATTGAAATTCGGGGGATGTGATGTGAGTTCCGGGGCGGCCAGGGCTACGCTGTCTCCGAGAGCCAGAACAACAACAACAATAATGATAAATAAGCCAAAGCTGCGCCTTAACCAAGGCGCAAGAAAACTGCCTTTATTTTCAGTTTCTGTGATGTGCAGCGGGGAACTAATGTTTGGAGGCGCAAAACCTAAAAGTTGGGAGGCCGCTGTCTTTGGGGACTGTTAAGTTGTAGAAAGAGGCTCTTACTCTGGTTCCTGCGGTATTTAATACTCTCGCCTCACCTCCGGGGACACTAGGCACAACAGTGGTTCCCAGGCAAACCTGCAGGCAAACGCACACACGAAAATGTCTTCTTAGAAAAGAGAAGGCCCTCTGGCTGGAGAAATTGTTGTGGGGTAGTCCCCAGAGAAGGCTGCTTGGACATGGGTTTGAGCCAGTAGAAGGTCCTTATCAGCAGGCTCGAGACTTCACTAGTTGCTGCACTGAGGCTTCCTCGGTGTGAGCTTTAAAGCACAAAAGCCATGCTCTGAGTTAACAACAAGAGTTGGCCTGAAACACTACAGAAGCCAAAAAGATTAGTGCATAGAGACCTTCCCAGAACTAAGGACTTTGGCGGATTGGGACTTTCAGTTTTGGCATGCTGAGTTTGTATAGTCTGAATGGCACTTCCTTCTTGGAGTTGTGCTAAGGGCTGAGGGCCTATTAGGGTCTGGGGCCCTGTTACAGAATGGCTCAGCTTTCTAAGAGTGGGTAAGGCTCTTGTAGGTGATGAGAAGGAAGTTCAGAGTACTCACTTTGGCAGCTCCCAACCAGCTCTAGCTCCAAACTTCTGGATCCCACAGGTAACAAACGGTGCGCACGTGCAGGTTACCCACACATCCTCATATTCTTGTAGTTAAACAAAACTTTTTAAAAATAGTTTTTTCAAAAAGCCTGGGTATGATGGCACATACCTTTAATCCTAGTACTGAGGAGGCAGTCAGGGGAGGTCGCTGTGAGTTCGAGACCAATCTCGTTGGTGCTGAGAACTTGGTCTTGCTTGGGGTGTCCTTATGGGATACAGGGCCTTACTACTACCATGGAAAAGTAAATGTGTGTGTTTGTAAGAGAACAATTCATGGAGTTGGCTCTCTACTTCCACCGTGTGGGGCCAGGGAAGCAAAATTAGGTCAAGTTTTAGCAACAAACCTCCTCACCCGTTGAGCCATTTTCTGGCCCAAAGTAGTAAAAATATTCTCAGGATTCATGATACACAACGCCACCTGGATGCTTCAGAATTAATTCTTGTAGTTTGCTTAAGAAAAGTGAGTCCACAGTCACAGCACGATCTTTAAGATCACTCATAGCTTAACGTAGAATGGAGGTCTCTTTTCCAGTAACGCGTGTCTCCATGTAAAGTACCAAAGGCCCTCCGGACCTAGGAGAGAAACCTCCGAGCCTCTCTCCCGAGCGTGGTCAGCCTTCCTGGTGCTGTGACCCTTTAATACAGTTCCGCACGTGGCGATCCCCACCATAAAGTTACTTCATTGCTACTTCCTAACTGCACTTGTGCTGGTCACGACTCATCATGGGAACATGGCACCCCTGGATTCACCCAAGCGGTCTCGATCTTTGAGAAACGCTGCGCTGCAGCGTGCACTCAGCTGCCAACCCGCCTCCTCCTAGTCGTACCGTTCGTTTCCTTTGTGGGAAAGGATGCCTCAGCGCCCTACTTCCGGCGGAAACACACCGACGCGCATGCGCGGGCGTGGCCCCGGCTTTCCGCTCCGGCGCCGCGCCCGGGGCCTCTGCTCTTTGGGTCCGGCGCTCGGGCCGTCCGCTCGGGAGCGTGCGGGAACCTCCGGTCGCTCTGGGCCTGTGCACTCCGGGTGCGGTCTTCCGCCCGCGTGGTCGGGGACAGGAGCGCCCCGCCAGGCCGAAGGGCTCCGCCCGCCTGCTTCGGCGCCCCTAACGCCGGGCCCCTCCTTTGCTCCCCCCCCAGCTTCCCGCCATGCCCGGGGGCGCGCCCTGGTCTGCCTACTTGAAAATGCTCTCCTCCAGCCTCCTGGCCATGTGCGCCGGGGCCCAGGCGGTGCACTGGTACTACCGGCCTGACCTGGTGAGTGCTCAGGGGCCCGTGCCCACCCCCGGAGCTGACCCCAGCATTCTGCGCGTGCATTTGCTCGGTCCCTCTGTAGCAGCCACTCCTGTAACGCTTACGGCCCGGTCTCTTTAAGAGTTGTAGTGAGCCAGCCTGGTCTACAGAGCGAGTCCCAGGGCCGCTGGGGCTACACGGAGAGACCCTGTCCCGGGGCGCCCGCCGGGCCCGGGGAAGTAGTCAGGTGTCAAGAAAACTTAGAGACAGAACGCGGCCAGGACTTCCCACGGAAATGCAGCTCTTTACCAAGGGAGTAGGATTTACCGCAGTGAGGTTGGCGTGATTCATCTCATTACCATTGGAGATGTACAAGGGCTGTTACAAGCAGCTACCTGTACTATGGGAGCGAGTAACACAAAAACAGTCTCAAAAATGGACATACTAAGGGTCCAAGGCCATCCCGGTCCGGTTGGGTGTTAACATTGGCAGTAGGGCACCTTTACCGATAGCCTTTCAGACCAAGGTGGCTGACTGCTTTTGGATACAGTATGTTTTCCTGTATTTAAGGAATTTATGTCCTTTGCCTACCCAGTCTTTTGGAATCGTTCCAGCCACCACTGTTACACCTAAAAGGTTTAGGGGGACCTGTTGAGTTGTCCAGCGTGACTCATGAGGACAGCAGAAGAGACAGCTGTACTCCTTTAATTATTTAGCTTGACACGCAGGAGTCAGCCCAGTTCTTTTCACTGCATGCCTTAACAAATCCCACTGGGTGAATCTGAAAGATACCTCCACCTCCTGCTCGATTCTCTCGCCTGCCTAGCCTGCCCAGGCCACCTTGAGTTATGTCCTTCTCGGTTAGGGTAGTAAGTAGCTTCCTGACCGTCTTCTGCCCTCCACTCCCTCCTAGTCTCTTCTCAGTAGAGTTCCCATCCCCATCTTCTTGTCCTTGAGTCAGGTCATGTTGTCTGTCTCAAAACTACCCCAAAAGTGAAGGCCAGTGGAGCCTTTATGTCCCTCCACTCCCCATCTACTAGCCTTCTAACCTCTTGAATGCTCTAGCAGATGTCGTGATGTTTTTCTTGAACATGAAGGCACAGTCATGCATGCCTCAGGTCCTCTGCCCATGTGATCCCATCAGCCTGAAACACTCCTAGTCACCTGCAAGATTGTTTCCTCATCCTCCTTCTTATCTGTGTTCAGACGTCATCACAACCAATAAGCCCGTGAAAAGATTCTCATTATCATTAACACTAACAAATGCAATCAGAACCGCCAATGAGATGGCCATAATAAAGCAATTGTCAAGGACAGGGAGAAACTGGAACTCTCATGCACTACCAGTATAAAATTGTGCAGCTGCTTAGAAACCCGGTCTGGCTGCCAATTCCTCAAACAGTGTATGTTCCAGCAATTCCCATTCTAGGTTTCTACCCAACAAACACCAAGACCTAAGTTAACTTGTTTGACCTTGGACATGCTCATAGGTGGAACAATGCAGATATCTGATGAATACCTGTATAAAACATGGTACATCTACATAGCGGGATATCATTCAGTGACCCTACATGAATGAACCTTGAAAACATGCAAAATGGAAGGACTGGGTCACAAAAGACTACATGATATATGGTGGGCAAATACATGTGGATAAAAGTGGCTTCTGGGGGAAAGCATATGGGAAGAGGTTTCTTTTTGGGTGGTGAAAAGGCCCTACACTTGTATTGTGATAGAATAATAGCTTCGATTATACTGTACTGAAAATCACCTTTTTTGGAGGGGAGGGGTGCTGTGATTCAAACTCAGCCGTATTCCTGTTGCACCCATGCATTCCTTTCTGCTTTCCTCAAAGGCAGAAGAACTGTGTATGTTTTGTTCATTGATGTATGCATTTCACATGATGGCCACTTCCTATCTTTTGAACATAATAACTACCATTAGTTATTTTCTGGGCCTGGTGCATGGTAGAGAGTCTGAAAATAGTGCAGGAATGAATTTCCAAATGTGGAAATTCTCATCTGAAATTGTGAGTCAGTTGGATTTATCTCTGTGAGTACTGCAGGACTTAAGACATTGTCAATATACAGACAGCAAGAACTTTCAATCAGCTACAGGTCCTTGAACTGTTGTCTCAGAATGTGGTAGCAACTGGTTTTTTGTTTTGTTTTTTTGGCTGTTTTTATTTTTGTAGACAATACCTGAAATTCCACCAAAGCCTGGAGAACTCAAAACGGAGCTTTTGGGACTGAAAGAGAAACCCCATAAACCTCAGATTTCACAGCAGTAGGAACTTCAGAATACAACTCTGCCAAGAATTCTGTGATGATCTTACATACTAACAAGTGCTGGCTGATAGGAGCTGATAAAGTTGAACTTGTACTGTGATCTGGTCAGTGTTTTCTAGAGTGTCACTATGCATTCTTGGTTCACCTGGATCTCACTGTGTAGATCAGGCTGGCCTCCAGCAGACAGGGATCCACAGGCCTCTGCAACAAGGTCTCTGTGTAGCCCTTGCTGATCTGAAACTCAAGACAGTCCTCCTGTGTCCACTTCCAGAATGGTGGAATTATAAATGACCGCATTTAGAGAGACACAGAAGCTTCAGCTTTTCCACTTGACTGGGAAGGTGTTTCTCTTCCTATCACAAGAAACTGAGTATTTGTAATGTCTCCTGCCGTTATGATTCTTATTTCTCAGAATGAGCTTGATTATAATGGCAAGTTATAAATTATATACAATAAAAGTCAGT